TGCTCAAAATTACATCATTAGTAAGGGAATCGGAGTTTTCTTGAGTAGTAGCAATACCAGTAAGTGTATCAATATTACAAACATTGATTTTTCTCCTAAAAATAATTCCTAAGATGTTTACCTACACTGCCTCGTTAGCAAACACCATAGGAACTGCCAACAACTGAGTATTTTCAAAGCTTCCTTTTTTTTTTCTCGTTCCTTCGCGAGGAGGTCCGCCACTTGGTTCTGCTCCCTGTAGCTATGCTCAATGACTGGATTCCCCAACTGCTCCATCATTGACCTGCAATCATCGATTATGGGGTTGTGGGTCAAATTGCCATTTTTTAATCATTTTTATTACCTCAGTGGAGTCTATATCAATCACAATTTGAGAGAGCATATGATCAATAACAATTCTTAAGCTCTACCAAAGAGCTTGAAGCTCCGCTGTAATACTAGTTGTGTTAGTTAAACATTTCATGTAGCCCATAACCAGTCCCCTCTATTGTTTTTAAAGACACCCTCCCCCCCATACTTCCTTGCCCAGTTGAAGTACAAGCAGCTCCATCAATGTTAAGTTTTAGTGTCCCAGCCTCTAGTGGTTGCCATTTGAGGTTTAGAGTAACTTTTTCAGGGAGTGAATTATACCTAGTAGCTACATGGCAGTACTCAACTGCCATATCAATTGCTTGTTGGATAGGGATGTTGTTCTTTCTCTTTTCAAACACATTTGTATTTTTGGTTTTCTAGATGCTCCAGAAACAAATGGGGAACACCATTTTCCAGTTAATACATGCATTGAAAGGGATATGCTGAAGTCTGTGCCAAGTATCCTCTCATTTTTGCATCGTGAAAGTATTTTGGGGGATGTTCTAACTATTGGTGCTGGTCTTAACCAGGTTAATCCAGAAAGCCTTGGCATTGAGACAATCAAAGAAAATGTGATTGATGTCCTCTACATGACCACCGCAATAGGAACAGTTAGGGGCTATATTCAGGCCAATGTGGTGGAGATAACTTCCAGTGGGAAGTCTATTTTGATACATCAGCCATGTGAAGAATTTGATCTTATTAGGAACCTTCAACTTCCATATCTAACCATAAAGATCTTCCTGGGCAAAGTTGTTGTTAAGATTGTTGTCAATAAAGTTATAGACTAACCTAGAGGAGAAAATGATAATGGGGGTGAGGTTCCATATGAGTATATCACTGTCCCTTATATTAAAAGAAATAAAAGTGCGTCGGATAATGGTAGAGATGTCAAGGGGAATGGGGTAGCTGATAGAGTTTAGGTCCCATATTCCATTACTGTGAACAATACTGACTTTTCTGTTTAAGTCTGTCAGTTGCCAAGGCCCTCTTAAGATAGAGCTAAGAGGCTGCAAGTTGGGTTACCAATTATCCTCCAGAAAGTTGACCCTGTACCCTTTTGTGGACAACCCATCTGGAGGCTTTAGTACAAATTCTCCAACCTTCTTGAATGCACTGTCAGATTCTAGTCTTGGGCCTACCTCTCCTGTCAGCACCATTACAGTGCTTACCCATGAGTATGGGTGGACATAAAAGCCGAAAAATTGAATTCCGAACTAAACCGAATTAATTCAGTATTTCGGTATCAGTTTATTCGGTATTTCGGTACTACTTCGGTATACGATTTTTAGTTATTCGGTATATTGGTACGGTCCTTGGTATTGCAATTTTGATATTTCGGTATATCGAAATACCGAAATACCAAATTATTTAAGTACACCTTCCTTCATTACCCAACCCAAATTATATTTTTCCAGCGCAAAATACCACTAAGACTAAGCCTAACGCCCAGCCTAACATTAGAATTTATTAGAAAAGTAAAGAACTTCTCACATCTATTGCTGCTATGCTCATTTATCACTTTATTAGAGATTTTCTAATGATGTAATTTATTTTTTAAAATTATTAGAAGTAAATGAACTACTCACATTCAATTCCTAAGCTAATGTAGTTATTTCTATTAGAAATTATAATAAGTGAATGTACTGCTCACATTTTGTTGCTGCTATACTTATTATCACGTAATTAGAAAATTTCTAAAGAATTAGAGTTCAGTAGTTTAACACTGTTTAGTTCACAAAGATATGATACAATACCGAACCGTACCGAACCAAATAAGACAATTTTGAACCGTACAAAACTACTTTAGTACGGTATTTGGTATGCACAATTAATACACCGAAGTACCAAACCGTAGTTTTCAAATACTATATCGAATGTCCACCCCTACCCATGAGCACTCTAGCCCATATGGAGCTGGTGTTATTGTACATTCTCTGTGCTAAACTAGGACGGCAAGTTTTATTCTTCATATGAGCTTGCTGCATCCCCTCCCTGCCTCCCCCTCTGTTCTTAGGTTTTGTAATGGTTTCCCAATTAACCTTGTGGATCTTTCTCTTTTCAGTAGTAGTGCCCTAGATAATATTCCTTTTAATTTTATCAATCTGGTTGCTTATTTTAGAGGGCACCTTAATGTACTACATATCATGGCTGGGAATGCTACTCAGGCTTTAACCAGAGTAGTACGACCATATTTGCTGAACATTCAACCAAACAGGGAACTGATCGAGGCTGCTACCATATTCTAGAATGAGAAGATAGCTGTTTTACGATTTGGCAATATAGAAATGACTCCTCTCCTGGAAGAAATAGGGGGTTTAGCCAAGTTATCATGGGATAGTCCAGGACTATTGGTGCCAGAAAATCACACTCCACGTGATTTTTTGATAATGTTGGATTTTAAGAAGAATGACGAACTGGTTTGTCTAAATAAATCATACACCCCCTTTGAATTTCTCTATGAGCGTTATGGATATAGCAAATCATATCGCCTTCATCATGAGGAGCTAGCCATTACCTCTTTGGGATGGATGCACCGCCAATTTTATGTTTCCATAGTCTATTTCTTAGGTTTGTTGATCTTTCCGATGCAAGGGGGAATAATTCATACTCGCTTATCCATGGTCTCCAGGACCTTAATGAAGGGTATCTAGGGGAAAAAGTACACTATCATCCCAATTATAATAGGTGAGATGTATCGTGCGCTGGATCGGTGCAAGCATGGGTCTGGACACTTTTAGGGTTATAATCTCTTCCTACAAGTTTGGCTGCTGGAACTCTTTCAGAGGGGTGAGTATCGCCTGGAGCTTCTGCGAAGGACACTGAATGACTACATAGCCAATGATCATCCAAAGAAGATAACGTTCATTCCAAACAGTTTTGCAAAGCCTGGAAATGTTGTAGGCTGGGTGCGTTTCTTCAGCAAACTGACAGATGAGCAAGTGCATTGGATGTTTGAATGGTTTTCTAGTAGTGAGTTCATTATCAGATCCAAAGAAACTACTCACTTAGTACTTATCGGGCTGCAGGGCATCTACCCTTATGCTCCTATAAGGGTAATGAGACAAGCTGGAAGGAATCAAGTCATACCTCGGGTTTCCAACATTGTTCAGTATAAAGCATATTTCAAAGGGGATGTCATCCCATTCAAGTTCTAAATACAACACATGCGGAACCAAAAGTTCATCGTGGGGGGAAAGACTATTGAACCAGATAGGTATCACGCCGGTCATATGTATTATTATTTCTCATGGTTGGAGGACGACATAGCCAGGGACGTCAAACCGAGAGTCAATCTGAAAGATAGGTCATAGATGAGGTGGCTGAGGCACAAGTAAAGTATAAGAGGCTACACAAAAGGGTGTT